TTAATTACATAAAGGGGGTTTTCAGACGATCAATAACGAATATTTTATGAACTTACTATCCTGTTAGTAGAAAATGTAGCTTCCTTCCATGTAAATGATGTTTTTTAAAAAAATTGGATCTTGCAAATAGTTTCCTTGTGCCCAGAGACAGAACTCCAACCTTCTCTCTGCATCACCTGCTTCTAACGTGTGCAGGTATTTGACTTTAAATGGCCTAATATTTCTTTTTTTTAATGATTTCAAACTGTCATCTTACTCATATTGGGTAAATCTCGACCTGCATCAGATAAACTATTTGTAGGATTATTTCGGAAATATTTAATTATAGTGTGCCCCTTTTCATTTGCTCGATGTCCTGAACCTCTTTTTACCGTTCATGAAATATTACCTAAAGAAAATTTGAACTGGTTAAAAAATTCTACAAATTAGAAGATTTACCACTGAGATCAAATATACGATTTATTCGTGATACAGTAGAAATTGATATTCGTCGGTTTGGATGTTCAGCATTAAAAAGTATAACTACATCTCTATAACTTCGATCATTTCTACTTGTTAGTCGAATTATTTGCACTTTTTCGTTAATACTCAAGTCTATTTTTATTTTTCTAGCAAAATATTTCTCACAAAACAAAGCCGTAATTAAAGCGTGCTAATAGATGTCATGATTTACCATTTCACAATATTATTTGTTTTTCACAACAACCCTGATGAAACAAGAAAAAATAAATTTCTTTCCGAGTTATAAAAATTATGTCTTTAGAGAAATTACCTAATTTTAAAATGTAATGGTACTGATATTGTTTTTTCTTTCTTAACATGATATTTCAACCTTTTTAAATTGTAATTTACTATTTTTACTCATTTTTAAAAGCCCCCTATATTTTCAAACTAAAATAAGAATTTTCAGTTTTTGGAACTTTGAGGCTCTATAAAAAAAATATGTAACTACATAAATTAATGAAATTTTAGGAATTTGAATTTTAAATGGTGCTGAATAACGCAGTGTTTCTAATAAAAAAATCCCGAATACGATTTTCCAAAAACATGATTATTAAAAAAATCTTAGCATGCCACGAGAAAACATTATCTCCTTACCAATATGTCCCATACGTGTGTCTATGAACTCCATACTCCGAAAAAAATTGCCCCATCTTGTAAAATTCTACAATGGTGTTCCGGATTTAATCTGTACACACTGTATATCATACAATGCCATTATCATTTTTAGAATAACAGTATTTACTATTAACTTATCTTAAATAACAAATTCAAAGATAGAAATTTATATGTTCACCAAATGAACGGTAAAATACAAGTAATAGGGAGGGCGTTTTTAAGGTATCAAATACGGAACACAAGAAAAACAAAAAAAATAAAGCTTAAGATGTTACAATGTAAATTTTAAAGAAAACGCAAAATTTAAACTAAAATTACCATTTTCTTTTAATTAAATTGAGAATAGAAACTAAGAACCTTCCGTAATTTTCAAGAGGAATAAGTTAAATTATAAAACAGAATATTCTAAGATAATATCGTAAAATAGTTCAACGTATCATTTCCTCATCTGATTTCCTTAATAAAATTATAACACAATGTATCTACAGATAATATCTTTGAAAATTTAATTATTGGAAAAAGGTAATTGGTAATAAATTACAGGAACATAATTTAGACAGACATAGACCGTAAAACTTTGATAAATTATCTCTATAATAAGGAAAATTACATATTTCTAATTATTTGAAAATTAGATCATGATATTTAACACAAAATAAAAATAAATCATTATTAGATAATAACCTAGTGTAAATTTAAACTGTAAGAAAGAACTGTTTAAAGACGAGCACACAATTATCAAGTAGAACTCTAGGCACATGACATTAAAACGAGTACAATAATTAGCTTATTATTTAATGTTCGTTACACAATGTTAAACGGTAAATTGTACGTTGCGGGAATTTTTAAATAACATTTTCTATCGCAAAACATTGTAGACCATTCCCGTTAACAACAACAGTCATATTGTAAAAAAAACTTACAGTTATTTTAATACTAACAGAAATGCAAATTGTGGATACTTTTATTTAAATAACTTTGTCATAACAGAAAAATGTTAATCACATTAACATTTTTAAACATGAAGTGTGCAAAAACGACTACCATGGCTTTCAACTAACAAATAATTTCAAATTGAATATTTAAATTATTATTTATTTAATAAATCTAATGAAAACACTCAAGTAAATTTAGAAGAGTGGAATCCAAATAAATTTTAACCATTTATATGCATATTTATAAAATTTAATAAAATATTCAAGTTATCAAATTGTTAGAGAGGTTATACTTAGGTATTATTTATAATCCCAGAACTTTAATCATTAATATTTATTTGCCTCTAATTTAAGATAGAAAGATTTAAAATTATTGGACATACTCTTATAGCAGTCATAATAATACTTAAAGTCAATATGAATTCAAGGTGACTATAATAGGCGTAGATGATATCCAGTACGTATATTTTTATTTCCTATTATTATAATTTTTTTTCATAAACAAATAAAAATAAATTTTTGAAAGTTATTTTAATTTTTGAGCATAAATAAGCAATAAAAATTCCCTCATATACCCTCATTATGGAAAAAATATAAATACACATACTATACAAAGTAAAATATTGTTGAATTACGCTATCATAAACTCATAAATAACAATAAGAAAATAAAATAATCTTGAAAGAAAAAGACAAATATCACCGTTTTGTCATTTTTTTTAATAGTAGGATACCTATCGTTTCAGCACCCATACCTCCTTGATATTTAAAAAAAACATTTGAAATGGTAGAGTAACGTTCGCAATTATTTTCTTCCTTAAGATTAATAGTTAATATAAAATAATTTATGTGTTAATTGTATCATAAAATAACATTTAAAATACTGCAGAATATTTAAATAATAAAATAAAATTATTACATGTTTCACAGATTTATTTGTGGGTAAAGACCGCGAACGGTTTCAAATAATTTATTCTATTAGAAAATATACCTACCGATTTTTGAAATAATTTTAATCCCAGACATACTAGTAGTGAGCTTAGATAAATATCTTTAATCTGACATTTGAGTAAAATCACGTAAATATGAAGGTTGTAATAAAAATAAAATATATCAATATCTGTCGATTTCAATTAATTAATCCAAAAGGACGTTTCTACAATGGCTAGTGGCTTAACTGTCTAAAAAATAAACAACATTTGCAATAATCGATAATATACAGGGTGGTTTATAAAAGGAGATTTAATTTTAAGCAAAAATTGCCAGTCGGGTTTCGTCTTTCCCACAGAAAGATTGACAGCTTTCAAAGATAAATTTTGCAAAAAGTAGGTCATGCAACATTATTTAATCAGAGTAAAGGTTATAAAAAAGAGAACACATTATTTTACATAGCTTAAATGATCTTGTTTACATAACCTACTGTTATTTTTGTAAAATTTAATGGCTTAATATCTGAAAGATTAACTCTTTTTCCTTAAAATTGGATTCTGAAGCAGATTCCTAATTTTTTACTTCCTGCTATAAAACGCCCTGTATACAGTTTCCAAATAATGGGAAAGTTTAGAAGATATAATACTCATGTTTCTCTATTTAATATTATTATCATTTGGGTGTGTACAAATTTTTAGTATTTATTTATTATATCAGTATTTTTTATTGTTTGCTCAACTGACGCAGTTAAATATGTAACATGTTTTTAAATACTTTTTGTGAATCATTCTTATATCATACAATTTTCATTTATAGCCCTGAAGAAAGTCTGAAATAAATCGAAACTTTAGCATAGCTAAAAAATAAAACTTATTTTATTGTCATATCTTAGATACATGAACAGAATAGAATTCAAGTGAAAATTAAATCTCAGTCCAAATCAGTGGCGTAGATATAATGTAAGTTGGTTATATTTACTTACAAAATTATAATTCGACTAAAAAAATAAATAATTTTTTTTGTCTTTTTGTATAGCTTTTATCGGGTTCATTCAAATTAGCAATATGTGAAGAAGATACGTTTAGATAAATTTAGAATTATACAGAGTGTTTCGTAACAACATATCTAAACTGAAGGCTAGGTTTTTTTCTACCAAATTTAAAAATATTTTGTTTTATAAACAAATTGTGAGATACATGGTGTTAAAGTTTGCAGAAAAAGGTATCAGATTTATCAGAATACAAGAATATTCAGAGGATAAAGATATGTGCGAAGAAGAGTATTAAAACACAGAGGCTACAATTTGAATATATTATGCAAAGTAATCTAAATAAATATCTATATTTATCTAAAAGTGTCATCTTTAAGAATTGCAATTTGTGCCAAAACAGTAAAGCTAGCAAAAATAAATTATTTTCGTTGAAAATAAGATTTGTATTTCAAAAATATTTTCTCCAGTGGCGTAGCTATCTTAATTTTTAAAGAAACTATAACGAGCAGGCGATTTTATTACATCTATTGTGCACAGAAAATTTCTTTTCAATATTTTCATTTATTGAGAAAATATTTAGAGATAAGTACAATTTTTTTTAAGTTGCAAAACCAACTCAAAACGAAGACTACAAAGGCAAAAGAAAATATTCTTAAATTTGGAAAACCAAACTACTTTTTCATGTTTGACACAAATAAATTATAACAAACGATAAACGAATTACCTTTAAATGGTAGTTTAAACAGTTTCAAAATGTTTATTTCTTAAAAATCTCAAATATCGCGTAATAGTACAAGGTTGCTCTGTTTTCACTAAAGATTTTTTATCGTGAAATGTGGAAATCTGTCAAAAACAAACGTGTGCATCACCGTCAGAAATAAAATTGAAACTTTTTTTAAACTTAATGTACCACCGTGACACATTTAAAATTAGTAAAACGCTCGGTTTCTGTTACAGCAATCCCATACTCGCCGGCATTTGAAAACAATTAATTCTAGCATTCCAAAGAACAGTAAAAATGCAAACCTGTTGCGCGCCGCACGGTTCCAACGCCAATCCCGTTAGCAATCCAGAGAGGAAAATCCAAAGCATCGTGACGAACGGGAAGTTACCGTTTCGGCACCACTGAAAAAAAATCCTTCGACGACAGGAAGCACTGCACCGAGATGTGCACTCGCGCGGGCCGTTGGATGCTGCTAACTGTCGGCCGAAGACGCGCCGCGCCAGGAGTAAGCCGGGTCACCAGGTCACAAGGCTGCACGGAGAAGGGAGCCGCGGTATCTCGTGCTGCCAACCAACACTCCTACGACCCAGATGCGAGGATGCGAATGTTATCCCGTAGTTCTGGTGCTTTGACCAAGAAGATTCGCTTGCCCCGTCCAAGGAATTAAAGGCCAATGAATTATTTTTACAGTATTTGCCTACACATTACCGTGCCTTGCCCGAGTGACGGTACCGAGTCGCAATAGCGCCCGCGGAAATTGTTTAGTTTTTTGGCGATAGCGATGACGCGACGGTGCGATCTCCGCTAACAATTTTGACAAATTTTGAAACAACGTTTAGATATTAGAAATTGTTGTACGTATATCGATGATTCTTTGAAATATAACACACGATATAATCAACACTATTGAAATTCATAGAAGTAGAACCTATTTTTCCCCTATACAGGGCCTAACTTAAAGTTATTTTCTTTTAATCAAATAAATACTAGAGTTTTTTAAACTTCATTTAAACTTGTCTACGCCGTCATTGGACAGCGCCTCAAGTCAGTTGTATCAGCGCGCTTATTACTGTTGTAACTAACAGAATGACAGATAACGAAACTGTTGTATGACTGTGTCATGTTATTTTTTAATGTTAATGCAAACAAAGCGCATTAACTAATATCAGTATGTAAATAGGAATACGTTACTATTCATAACTCCCACGAAATGGTAACTCTTTTTAGGACTATATAATTTGTCTATAATTGTGAAAAAATTAACTTCTTTAATATTGCAAATTATGTTTAAAAGTATTTAAAAATTTAAATTTTGTCACGTGATCGAGAAAGCATTGTGACGTCATTTAGTCATAAACTGCTTCTCGGTCGTTTATCCTTTAGTCTACATTTCCTATGCCGATAAGACAGAATCAGTATCAGTACAGAGAAGTATTTACAGTTTGGAAATCGTGTTCTATAAAATTAAGAATGAGTAAAAATAGTAAGGTGAGATGATGTAGAGCTTTTACATGAACATATATTATTTCTTAAAGTAATTTCTATAACTATCTAAAAACAATAAAAAGACAAACTATCTTTATATTCAAAATATATTTACCTTAACTGAAGAACCTCCCACTGGTTGGCTAGAATCTGTTGGACACCCTTCATATACAGGGTGTTAAAAAAGAGTGTAAAATATTTAAGGAGGTAATAGTATGAACCAAAATAAGCAGAAAAGTCTCAATAAACATGGGTCCGCAAAGTAACGGTTGCGGAGATATGGAATGTTTTATGTTTTTTATTTCCTTTTTTTATTTTGCAAAAACGTTGT